TCATGATCACTTCCACTAATCTTACAGGATCATTTCCTATCAGCCGATTCTCTTTTAACTTTCTTCTTGGAACTCTATCGAAAGCTTTCTCCATGTCCACGAAGGCAAGGTATACTGATTATCCCTATGGCAAAAATTTAGATTTTTGATGGTGAAAATGTGATCCTGAGGACTTCTTCCCTTTCTGAAGACCTGTGTATCAGACAATGTCGGCTCCATTAACTTTCTTACTCTTTTTTTCTAGTATATATTCATAGGCTCTAAGTTCTGTAGACATCAGCGTTATTCCTCTCTAATTAACATATTACAATCTCTCTTGTTTTTATGAAGATAGTATGTATACTAAGTGACATATAAATCCGAACACCCAGTTTAAATGGTTTTATTTTAATAAAATTTTGTATAAGTACTTAATGAAGCATAATAAGTAAATGATAAAAATTTCAAAATGATTGCACTGCTTTAAAGCCCTTTGACCTTTAATAATGTGTGGATGCACCCTGATGTGCTACGCATTCTCCAACGCGTCTAGGCATGCTTCTGATCAGGTGGTCAATGTCCTCCTGTGGTATCTCATTCCAGGCAACCACCAACTCCTCTCGAAGTGCTTCTAGAGTCTGAGGAGGACGTTGCAAATTGAGCAATCTCCTACCCATCATATCCCACACGTGCTCAATTGGGGATAAGTCGGGAGATCTTGGTGGCCATGGTAACAATGTGACATCATTATGTTGAAAGAAGTCTATTGCAACTCTTGCAACATGTGGTCGGGCATTACCTTATTGGAAAGTTGGATCTGCCAGGGTGTCAAGATAGGGTAAAAGATGGGGTTCTAGAACTTCGTGGATATAACGCTGCGCGTTTATGTTACCTCTGATGAAGATTAAAGGTGACCTGGAACCATAAGCTATATATGTATATATAACCATAACTCCAACAGTGTGATGAACATGTCTTTCAACAATAAACTGTGGATTCCTCGTTTCACCACGTCGCCTTCTAACCCTGGCACGAGCATCGTGCATTCCTAAACAAAATCCAGATTCGTCACTAAAGAAAATACTGTTCCATTCCTGATCCCAGAGTGACCGTTGTCTGCACCACTCAAGGCGATTACGTCGGTGTTCTCGAGTTAAAGGGAGGACCCAGTGTGGCCGGTATGAAAACAAGCCAAAACTTCTCATTCGTCGGTAAACACTTCGCATGCCAATAGGTCTTCCGTGTTCTGCAAACCATTCATTTGCAATGGACCTGGTAGTGGAGAAACGGTCCCTTAAGGCCAATAATCTTAGGCGGCGATCTTCACGGCGGCGTCCAGTGCCCCTTGCTCTTTGCGTCCGGCCTTCTCGAAGCCATGCCTGACAACACCTAACCACAGTGTCTACACTTCTTTGCACTCTAACTGCAATTGCCCGAAAAGAAAGTCCAGCTTCCCGAAGTCCCACTATACGGCCAATATCAAACTCACTAAGTTGACGAAATGGTACAGGTCTCCGTACTCTAGGCATCGTAACCGATCGTAAAGGATGTCAAGAACCAAAATCCGCCAACGTTGATTCTTTACTGCGGCTGAAATATTCATTTTTAGAGCGTTAGTGAATTAAAAGAAAGCAGTATGAAAACCGGAATGTCCAACTGATAAGGCTGAAAATGTTTTCACTTGTTATTTACAGTAAGATAAATACATTTACCAACTTTTATCAAAATAAAACCATTTAAACTGGGTGTTCGGATTTATATGTCACTTAGTATAGTATTCTAATTCCATTTTCATCCATATTTTCAACATATCCCTTGTTATCTATCACAGGCGCATTTCCATTATTATTCAATTCTCAATGTTCAATATTTTGATAGAACAGGTAGTTAACGTATCCAAAAGTATTTCAACAATGATCACGCCTCTTGGATCATTTGTCAGTCTTCCCCAGGGGATACCCAAAACTAGATCATCAGCCATCCCCAATCAATTCTTCTGTATTCAGAGCATGTCACATAAATTTTGCACTGTTTAGTTTTATCTTTGCTATGTAGTGAACCGAAACAATATTGAACTCTGGTCAATTAAATTTAACGTTAGGTGCGGCTATTTGTGTGCCAATAACAATCAACCAATTATCGTACGTAAATATTTCGATGTTTGTATGACACTGAACATTCGCTATACCGCAGTCTGTCATACTAATAAAAAAATAGTTGTAGGTATTGTATTGATGTGGAACGACGATAATTGTACAGCTACGACATTTATACAGGTTGTCCATAAAATATGGATACATCAATTTTAACGACCAAATCGAATATATCAAGAACTAGATGGTGTGGTCACCCTGAAGAAACATTCTGTAATTCTAAATATTTTGGAATCTATTTAAAAAAGTGGTTAAACAATTCTTATTACAACTACGGGATTCATAATATGCATAAGAATAAGATTATGCAAAATAACCGTTATTCTGCACCAATAGGGTACGAGTACTAAACAGTCCCTCAAATATACCCAATCAGCCTCAAGATCTCTCCGTCAATCAAACAATTTACATTAAAACATTAATAGTTTTTATGATTTTTGGACTTGAAAGACATTATTTGTAAGACATTTTTCATAATTTTTTGTCCATGTCCATAGTAATTACATTATGCATCAGGAAGATGTAGGGATTGACACGTCTTACACATATTATCTGTGTTTTAGGATGGAGAGGACAATGTTTTTATTGCTTTGAAGAAATTCATTAACCCGTAAATTAATAAATGATTACTATTGTGATGTAAAGGAAGATGAGGAATTGGATGGAATGTATTTTATATTCTATTTTCTTGCAAAATACAGACAAATCCACACTATTCAACAGGTATGTAATGATAACTTTCAGTATATTGAAGTTGGTAAATTCAAGAGTGCCGTGCATTAACAAACGTCCAAATCTGCTGCCAAATTTAACAGCTAGAAAATCGACCTATTATTTGCCGCATTCCCATTGGCTTTGGGGATAACTGATTGTTAAATGTAATTTTTTTTTTTATTCACTCAATGTACAAAGATAACAAAAAATATGAGTAAATAAATATAAAATCAAAACAGGCCCAATAGAAGGCATCGCCTGTACCTGAACCAATAAATTTAAGTTAAAACTGTAGAATGCAAATGACAAAAAAGGACAAAAATTAGCTACAGTAGATTATGTATTTAGTTGATGTTCGTATTTATGAGTTTATGAATTTCAGTCCTAGATATAGAATGTAGCCACTTTTTTAAATTTCTTTTGAAACAATTTCCGAAACGTAAATCTTTTAAGTTTTTAGGTATAATTTCATAAAATTTAGGCGCTAAATAGAGATATGATCGCAGCATTATAGATTTATGCGGTTGAGGAACTACTGTGCCACGAATTTTGTACCTGGTATAATAATTATGTTTAATTTTTTGGTCGGTGTTTACAAATTTATGGTAGTGAGTGATACTGTGTAAGAAATAAAGCTCTCTTATATCATACATTCGAACATCTGCGTATAATTTTTCAGTGGGATAAAGTTTCGGTTTTTTAAATATCATTTTTAGAATACTTTTTTGAAAAACATCTAAATTATAGATATGTGAGGAACATGCAGCTCCCCATGCTAATATACCATATGTGAGATGAGGCTCAATCAGTGCATGGTATAATGTTCGAAGATATTTTTCTGTCAATATATTCCCAAGGTATTTAATTTTGTAGGATACAAATCTAACTTTCTTTAAAATATAATTGACATGGATGTCCCATCGTAAGTGAGGATCCAAGACCACTCCAAGGTATTTTATGTTGGGCACTCTATTAATTTGCATTTTTTGATCATTAATATTGAAGGAGAAATATGTGTAATTTGGCAGATGTCTAGCATAAGATCCAAATGGTAAAAAATCTGTTTTAGAGTAGTTAATGCTTAATTTTCTACTGTTAAACCACCGAATAATTTTGATAAAATCATTTTCAATTACATTTTTCAGATCAGACCAGTCAGTGCCTTCATATAATATTGCAGTATCATCTGCAAAACTAGTTATTTTGCCAACACAATTAATTTGGAAAATATCATTTAAATATATATTGAATAACAGCGGACCTAAGACAGTTCCTTGTGGGACACCACACTTAATATACATTTCTTTACTAAATGATCGTAATATCTGCACAGATTGTGGGCGATTTGACAAATAACTTTCGATCAGTGAGTACGCGTTTCCTCTGAAACCAATTCTCTCCAATGCTTCAAATAATAATTTGTGATTAACTGTGTCGAAAGCTTTCTTTAAATCAACAAAAATGCAGATTGAAGGGATTCTGTTATCAATATTTTGATGTATTTGATTTACAATTTTAGTAATTGCGTCCGATGTAGCCTTCCCTTCTGTAAATCCATATTGATTTTCACTTAAAATTTTGAATTTTGTGAGGTATCAATTTATAACACAAATCAAAATACCTGAAAGTTGACTTGTTTCCTGTGTACAAACGCATCATGTTGGAATCAAAAAGTGGTCTTGTCTATAATACAGTCGAATTTTTTTTATTCAATATTTTAATAGAAATCACTGATATTCTGAGACCTTCGACAGCTTCTGTCAAATTGCATTTCGATAAGGTATTTTCCCATTGGTCCATAATATTAATGTTGGTGAAATCGACCCTAATTGAAGTATTTATTCGATCGGATGCAAAGATACTTCCTGGACTAAATAGAATAACACTACACTCTCGAGTCACGTATGTCAAACAAATGCGCAGTGCGCTACATTGTTGGTTCAACTTTTCGAAGCAATGAAATAATATCCTGGTACGCTGGAAGGGTGTCGACAGAAGCGATTTTACACTGTTTTGCTTTTAACGAGGCTGCAAGCTGATACGAGATGCCTTGCTTCGCACAAACACTCGACGTTATTTTGAGACTGAGCCTCAAGGCTTCCGACACTTTAGAACGGCGAGAAAATACTGTGTACAATGCAGGCTCTACATAGATAGAACTACGAGGTGACATGATAACAAGCTAAAGCTAAAATCGCGGATTAATTTCGAAAGCATTGAACGTCAGTTGGTTGTAAGTTGACTATACGTATCGTGGCGTATACAGGATAGGCCATCTTGTGATTCAAGTCTGAACTAGAGGTGATAATCGCTTAACTTAGCTCAGGACATCAGGGACTGGAAAGTGTCTCTAACACCCTCTCTATCGGATCACAGGTTTATACTGTTCAAGACTGATGGAGAGATTCCGGATAAATATGCTCGGAATCCCAGGCATACTAGATGGGAGTCCTTTAGGGCAGACATTGACAGTAAGCTTGGAGCGGTCCCATACAGGCTTGGCAGGGGCTCTGACATAGAAGCAGCTGTCGAGTCTCTGAGCAGGGACTTGACGGCCGCATATGAGGAAAACTGCCCGTTACGCAAAGTACAAGGTAAGGGCAAGGCAACCTTCTGGACCAAAGATTTAGAGGATAGAAAACGAGCGGTGCACAAACTTCTTAGCAGAGTTAAGCACAGGAGAGGTTCTCCTCTATGGGAAGAATACAAAAAGGCATTGCAGGAGTACAAAAAGGAGATTAGAAGGGCCTCCAGAGAATCCTGGAGGCACTTCTGTCAGTCCATAAATGACATTCCTGCTACTGCAAGAATACACAGAGTCCTATGCAAAGACACTAAAGCAAGATTGGGATCTCTGCATGATCCCTCGGGAGGGAACACTACTTCCGAGGAAGATACTCTGAGGCTTCTGATGGATACGCACTTTCCCGGTTCCACAGTAGCGCGATCAATCACAGAGTGCATGCAGTTGCGCAGGCCCTCAAGGGAGGACTGGCGCACGGCAAGGGAGATTGTCACCTTCGAAAGGACGGTATGGGCAGTAGATTCGTTTGCCCCATACAAAAGTCCAGGTCTGGACGGCGTATTTCCGGCCATGTTACAGCAGGGACGGATTTCGGTTGTTCCTTACCTGTTGAATGTGTTTCGAGCATGTGTGGCCACGGGCTTCACACCTAGAAGTTGGCGGCAGGCTAAAGTGGTATTCATTCCTAAACCGGGCAGAGATAGATATACTGGCCCGAAGGATTTTCGACCGATTACTCTTTCATCTTTTGTGCTTAAGACCCTGGAAAGGATAGTTGATAGATACCTAAGGGATGGCCCACTGGAAAGGTGTGTCATTCATGCAAATCAGTTTGCATACCAAGCTGGAAAATCGACTGATCTGGCCTTACACAATCTGGTTGGGAGGCTGGAGAAGACTCTAGATCAGCGAGAAGTGGCACTCGTGGCCTTCTTAGATATTGAAGGTGCATTTAATTGCACCACAACCGACTCTATCAGACAGGCCTTGGTTAGACACGGGGTTGGATCAATCCTAATAGATTGGGTCCTCTCTACTCTGGAGGGTCGGGTAACAACAGCTATGCTGAATAACGTAAGCTGCAGCGTGAACGTAGCTAGAGGCTGCCCTCAGGGTGGAGTTCTGTCACCCCTACTGTGGTGTATCGTGGTGAACGAACTGCTCGTTAGGCTCAACAGTATGGGTGTCTACGTGCAAGCCTATGCTGATGACGTAAGCATAGTGGTTAGGGGGCGTTTCTGTAGAACAGTCTCGGAAATTATGCAGGGCGCTCTGCGCTCCGTGGAATCGTGGTGTAGGGAAGTCGATCTTTCTGTTAATGCTGAAAAGACCGAGCTGATCCTATTCACTAGGAGAAGAAGGCTTGACGGACTGGTCATGCCTACCTTCTTTGGGACGAGATTAGTTTTGTCCCAGTCAGTGAAATATCTGGGAATTATCCTGGACTGCAAACTGAACTGGAGAGAGCATGTGGAACACAAGGTTAGCAAGGCTCGCAATTCGATGTGGGCTTGTAGACGTGTTGTCGGTGTAAGGTGGGGGCTTAAACCCAAAGTGGTATACTGGCTCTACACGACGATAGTACGTCCATCTCTCTTGTACGGCTCCCTGGTCTGGTGGCCTTGCATTAGAACTGAGTCAACTAAGGCCAAACTCAATAAAATTCAGCGTTTGGCCTGTATTAGCATTACAAGCGCAGTGCGAACAACGCCATTGAGTGCAATGGAAGCTCTGTTGGATCTCCCACCGTTGGATCTGGTGATCCGCGGTGAAGCGAGAGTAGTCGCTCATCGACTGTGGAGTCAGGGCAGCTGGGCTTTCTTGAATCCGGTCAAGGGGCATACTGCCATATTAGTCGAATTAGATAGGGAGGACCCCGTCCTTCTAAGCAGGGGTGATCGTATTACCCCTAAATATCGCTTCAACCGCAAGTTCATTGTGGAGTACCCAACGAGGGAGGAGTGGGACGCCGGTAGCCGAGGACTCTCCGAAGTGAGCGGGCAGGTCTGGTACACGGACGGCTCGGTCACCGAAGAGGGCTCAGGTGCTGGGGTCTCTGGACCTAGAACTAGGCTATCTCTGCCTCTCGGTGAGTACACCACCATTTTCCAGGCGGAAATCTTTGCGATTCTGGCTTGTGTATCTCACATTCTGGAGGAGGGTGGGCCTAGGAGAAGAATAACAATCTTATCCGACAGCCAGGCTGCAATGAAAGCACTAAGTGCATGTAAGATTACTTCGAGTCTTGTATTGCAATGCAGGGAGGCTCTGGATTGCCTCGCAGCGAGGCATCCGGTATCGTTAATATGGGTACCGGGGCACGCTGGGATAAGGGGCAATGAGACGGCGGACACTCTGGCGAAAACAGGATCAGCCAGCAAGCTCGTTGGTCCTGAGCCAGCTCTAGGAGTAACCGCGCATAAAGCTAGGAGGAAAATGGAGACGTGGGTTGCAAGACAACACTCTCAGAAATGGAGAAGTATCTCTAGACATCTCCGCCAGGCACGAGAGCTCATTGAAGGGCCCAGTGCTAAGGATGGACGCTTCTGCCTATCTCTGGGTAGAGCCAACCTAAGGTTGCTGGTGGGACTGTTGTCTGGCCATAACACGTTAAGGCGGCACCTGCACGTGATGGGGGTGGCTGAGGATCCCTTATGCGAACGCTGCGGAGTAGAGGAAGAGACCTCGGCGCACGTTTTGTGTCGCTGTGAAGCTCTGAGCTACTATAGGCAGACTATACTGGGGTCCATTACTTTGGACCCTCAGGACGTAAAGGAGCTTGGACTCAAGGCGATTCTCAACTTCGCTAAAAGGGCGAGGCTTGTGATTTAAGTATTGTAGAGGTGCATAAGGGCCCGCTTAAGCGGCCTATGCACTGGCTCCTTATGGTGGCCGGGATGCCTCTAAAATTCAAGATTCATTCATTCATTCGTAATGAAGCATAATAAGTAAGAGGTGATAATGCTAAAATGTCATACGAGATAAGTAAACAAATAGACTAACTGAGCCATGTGCGGAGCTGATTTTTTTTTATTTAAGAGCACCATCCTGCCCCAAAATGTAGTGTTAGTTTTTAATAGCTTGTATCCGGTCTTTTGGTTTTATAACTGTAACAAGTGTTCTCATCCTCGCTTTCGTTCTGAAACACCACTTAGCAGCAACCTCATCGACGAGTAAGTAATTTGAAAATGTAAATCTGTTCTAAATTGGTTGCTATATTCATATTTGTGCTTTAGCTCCTGAAGATGACAACATAGTTTGTCGAAAGCTCGAGATTTCAGTCAAAAGAGTTCAGTACGCTTTAAGTTTTACCAATTCCCGATAAACAATTTAATTGTATTTTTTGTCCGACTGGTCGCTGGCAATGGCAATGACTACTACTCGTATATACAGGGTGTCCGCAAAGTTGGGGTTGTCCTTTTCAGAAGCAACTACCCTTGAAATAACAAAGGTAATGTGTAGTGAAACGAGGGCGATCAAGTATTCTAAAAATTAGGAAAAAGTACTCACTCTCCAGTTGACGAGAAGGGCTGAGTACGTCTCTGCCCGAAATCATACCGCTCCAGCAGAAAATGAAATCAGCTGATGCGCTACCGAGCAGACGCAGGCGGTGGTGCAGACCACGAACAGAGGTAACAAATATGACGGCGTTGCCGCGTTTTCAGTTTTTAGGTAAACGTACTTTATAGGTATTGTTCAAAGTTGTCGCCGTTTGATTCAAAAACACAGGTGCGTGCACGACATAGCCAAGCATCGGTGCAGGATTTGAGAATGGAGTCCCTCCCCCGAATGAAAGCACCAGCTTGTTCAATTCTGAGACGAAGTTCGTCAACCGTATGCACTTCAGTTTTGTACACTAAGCGTTTCATTTCTCCCCAAAGAAAAAAATCACATGGTGTTAAGTCTGAAGATCGCGGAGGCCACGCTACGGGTCCATTACGTCCGATCCACCTATTCGGAAATAATTCATTCAAGAACTCACGCACTTCGCGTCTAAAATGGGGCGGTGCACCATCGTGCAGAAACCACATTGATTGTCTTACACTTAATGGCACATCTTCTAACAAGGAAGGCAAAATGTTGCGTGAAAAGTCTAGATATTGCATCCCGTCCAATCGATTTGGGAGAATAAATGGGCATACCGTTCACCATGCCAGTCCAAACATTCACCGAAAATGTTTGTTGAAAATGTGCCCGACGGACAGCGTGCGGATTTTCTACTGACCAAACATGAGTGTTGCGAAAGTTATTCACCCCATTACGCGTGAACGTAGATTCGTCTGTCACCAATATGTACTTCAAAAAGTCCGGATTATTGTCATGTTGATGCAACAGCCACTCACAAAACCGCACTTTTGCTGGAGAATCGTCAGGTTGAAGGGCTTGTACACGTAGGACGTGAAACGGATACAGCCCTCTTCACGCAGCGTTTGCCACACTTTAGTTTTTGATACTTGCACTTCTCTAGCCACGTCTCTAGTGCTTGTTGAGGGATTCTCGTCTAGTAGTTCTTCCTCCGCTTGCACCATTCGTGGTTGTCAAGGCCTCCCACTGTGCCCACCTCGAAATTAGTAAAATTAAAGTATTTGAAAAATAAGTTAAGATCCGCTATGTAGTATGATGAGTATCAACTATAGACGTTGGGCGCAAGTTATTGTATTTTGCCTACACCCCCCCTCCCCTGACTCATACGTTGGTAAGAGAATTTTTGAGGTAGCGAGATGGCGCTAAAAAACGTATGTACCCTTTACAAATACCTCGTACTATTCCATCCAAGACATTTCTTTACTATTATTACCTACGGTAATTAAACTGGACCCTTTTTTTCTTTGCTAAAAGTAATGTTTCTTACATACAGCGTCAGAATGTTTCGATATTTGTCAAAGAAGTCCTACATCACTTTGTAGATTGAGACTAAAGCTATTACAGCCAAATTACTCATAAAATACCCATCAAAATCTGGGAATCATCTTGGAACCACCTTTATACTCTCGTCTTATTCTATCTCCAAGATAAATAAAAGCGGTAGTATAATGCCATAACAAATTTAACGGTACTTAAATTGAATTGACGTACCTTACATACCGACTTTTATGATCCCAGCAATCAAACCTGTCTTTAGTGCACTTTTGCTCCCACAACTGCGAGCGACGGAGCATTGTAATTGCGAAAAATTTCATAAACGACATATTATATTTTTGGATGTTATATGATATGGACGAGGTCTGTAAATTAAGTGACGAGAGTCGATTTTTTAAATTTTTTAATCCAAAAGTTAAATCACCTCTTGAATGTTCCTCAAGAATATTGATTACTTATCTTCTGTCAAACGGCACTCAATTCTCAATTAACGTTTGTAAATGTTAGGGCCGTATCGTCAGTCGTTCATACAATTGTAGGACGCCTTTACGGCCTCGCGCTCTCCTATTGTCAGGCTATGTTTTCATCTTGAACTGTAGGAAATTTCAGGCTACATAACAGATTATATAAGTCAAAAGTATGCACAATTTAGTGCAAATACGTATTTGTAACATAACCTCAACATAGAGGACTAACACGGACGAGAATCCAGCGGGCCCTAAAGGCATTCTACAATTGCAGAAACGACTGACGATACGGCCCTTAACATCCCCAGAAACCAATATTTTGAAGGTAATCTGAAATTCTGATATATGAGCGTCTAGAGGAATTCAACGTTTCTCAATTAATACCTCGCTGAATACGATTCTATTGGAATTTTCAATAGGTTCTAACTGAAAGTGGAATTCCAATTCTGGCGTCTCAGCCCTCCGGGGTACTGTCAAGTCCTCCCTTCAGCCTGTAGTTGGCAACGATGCATTAATATGCAGATATTCAATACTCCGGAATCCACAGGACGTGCGAAATTAGAATGGATGCCACAGCGTTTATTCTCTGATAGCATAATTACTGCAAGAAATGGCACATTCGGACAAGCCTAGCAGTTTAATCGTGGCTGGCAAGAGATGATCTGAACAGGATTTTGTGCTAAGGGGAAGCGGTGACTTCCGGCAATCCCAGCTGCAAACCAGCTACAAGCAAAGCCGGAGGATTATATGGTGGTTCCCTCCAATGTTTTCTACGCTGAATATTAAAATCTCATAAGAAAATGGACGGGGTAGCATCCAAACTAAAACAACTAGACGTAAGGTACTATATGAAGGGGTACTAGTCGACAAGCTGGTGTTCGGTAATATCCCAGAATCTGGAGGTTAAACCAATGGCGCTCATACCACAATCTCAGGAGAAAAGTGCCTGACACGGAGCACCAACTTTATAAACGAACTTATATGTAAGTGATCTATCCAGTCATATATCTGAGAGCCATGTAACTATGTTTGCAGATGGAAGCACAATTACTATAACTGCAAAAAATGTCTATCATCCTCTCACCAAAATTCAACGTATTTTGGATAAATTTTCAAAGAAATCGGCTAATCCTAAATTCAGGTAAGACTACAGTAATCAATTTTAACATCTATCCCATATTTAATATAGGTGTGGATATATTTATAATCAGTGATATTGGGATTGTTACACCCAGAAAAACTAATTTCTTTTCTTCTTCTTTTTTTTTGACAGCATAATGACTATATTTAAAGCATGCTTTTAAAACTCGTAGCTCTCAAGCATGCTGAAATATATTCATGATTTTTTCCAACATAACCCTTGTAAGTGCTGATGAAATTTAATATTTATTACTTGTAAGGGTGAAAGGGCTAATTCAATCTTTACGAAGATCATTCAACGACAAAATCTAATTATAGGAGGCAAGAGGTTCTTTTCGATTAACACGGAAGGGTTAATGGACTTTTTAATAGAGGACTGGAAAATACCAAAAGGAGCTATAAATATTCCAAATTGAATTTTGGACGTGGTGCAGGGGTGCTTTTTATGTTAAGCATGGCGTATGCTACAGTTTGAAGGGACATATGACGACGTGTCCGGCGGCTTTGAAGCATCAGTTGGCCTCAAGTAGCCTTATTCTCTTACCAGAGCCCTAATTTATCATAGCATCGAAAGAGATACCAGATTTTCCTAAAATAATCATGTCAAAGTCGTCATCATCTATTTTTGTCCTATAAGCAATTATGATAGTTCTGTTCTGAAAATACTCACTTTTGACATTAACTTCAAGAGTTCAATTCCGTTATAGGGTAGCTTATTGATTTTTTTCTGTCGAATTCTAGATATCCTGGTCTATTAATATTCGCCTATTGGCTTATACGTCCATTGGAAAATATAGGAAATTATAATACAAGCAATAACGAGGATAAATAACATCAGTCTCAGAAACCTTTTGCGATCTAGTTCTCTTCCGCCGCGCGTTAAGCCTGCTAGGCGGACCCGTCAGGTTTCTGCCTCCCATACCAACTATGTCAAACTTTGCCGATCGAGAACTGGCCGACCCGACCGCTCCTTCGCTCCTAGGGTATCGAGATTGTGTGTGTGTGCCTGATAATGTTTTTTTTTCAGTTCTATGATAGTTCCGCAAATCTTAGAGAGTTCACACAAGGTGCTTGTTAGTGGTGCCCCGGTGTTTAGGTATCTGTCCACACTTCAGTGTTTAAAAACATGTGTGGCGCTTTTGAAGGCATCGGGCTCAAATGCCATATGTATGACAGATGTTGACAATGACATGGTGACAGGAGAGGAAACAAGTTAACATCTCACACAGCACATTAGTTTTCCAGAACTGGTTCCGGTATATTACATCTCTTAATTGGTATTTCGTACATTTTTCAGAAATATTGATTTTCTTCCTTTCACAGCTTCTTTTGTCGATAGTCCCTTTACCTCAACCCGCTTATTTTAACAAAAAACAGAATATTTCATAAAAGAAGAAGCAGTAAAACTGACAGATCGCATTTTGCATCTACAGCGTAAGTAGAAAAACAGGAAAATAAATGTCGGTCTGTGACTGGGATTTTTGATTATTTAATAAAATTAAAAACGTATTATAGTTGATTTTATTAAATTATGTTTTAAAATAAACACAGTATCAGTGGAAAAAATTGCTCTTTTTGGGCCAAAAATACTTGTTGGGCATTTGTAGACAAACTCCAGAAACATAGTGCATACCTCAGTCGTGTCTCAACTTAAGCATAGTAAACAGAAATTGTCTGTACTTCTGTAAGGACAGTTCGCAAATTTTTCATAAGATATGATTGGGAGTTTATCTTTGAAGCAATATATACACAGTGGTCTTTAAAATTCAAACCTGTATCTAGTTACAAGCCCAAGAATTTAACTTGCGTGTTAAGAGACATTCTTGAGCCATTAAAAGTGATATTTAATGTCCTAGGCTTCTTCTGGATGTTGTGAAATTGGACAACTGATGTTTTTTCAGAATTCAAATAGAGCTGATTGCTGCTAAACCACTTGTGAATACCTTGCAATAAAACTCCACAATACCTCTCTAATGTAGCCTCACACTTATTCGATATCACCACTGAAGTATCATCTGCATATAAAATGAATCTACCTTCAGAGGAACAGAACTCAAGGTCATTTACATATAGACTGAATAGCACAGGTCCTAGAATAGAGCCCTGAGGGACGCCTATGGAGATGTCAGCTACGTCGGACTTAATAGGCCCATTCAGACCACTATCGATACTTACAAATTGGGACCTATTCTCTAAAAAAGACCTTATCCAGTGATATGGTGGACCATTTATGCCATACTTTGACATTTTTTGCTTCTATATGCAAAACTTAAAAGATATCCCTCGTATACACCTATTTATATAATAAAAAAGCAAAAAAACAATTTATTAAAATCATTTTCAGCCGAGGGGACATTCCGTTGCCTCCGAAGCCCGGATCTCACGCCACTGAGGATACCTTGGCCGGATGACCCACATCTCAATGATGTTATTTTGAAAAAATTAAATTTCCATGTGTCTACTTGAAAAAATATAAATTACCTTCCCTAAACTTTGTAGTATTTTTTATGATTTTTTAAAATCCGCTCATATTAATGGCCCACCCTGTATAACCTGACCTTGGATGGTCAGCAATTTTTGTCGTGCGGTAGGCTGGATAGCATTTTTGGTCTATGGACTGATTGTATCATCTCTTGCTCTTTTTTTTAAACTTAATTGTCGCTCATATTGGCGTTTGTTTATGCGGGTATATATATCTATATATTATTCTAGACTTTCTTTTTTTTTAAATTTATTACCACATTTCTCAATTTTCTATCTTATTTTTAAAAAACTTACATGCTGTTCATATTGATGTTTGTATATGCTTGATGGATGTATACTAAGTGACATATAAATCCGAACACCCAGTTTAAATGGTTTTATTTTAATAAAATTTTGTATAAGTACTTAATGAATCATAATAAGTAAATGATAAAAATTTCAAAATGATTGCACTGCTTTAAAGCCCTTTGACCTTTAATAATGTGTGGATGCACCCTGATGTGCTACGCATTCTCCAACGCGCCTAGGTATGCTTCTGATCAGGTGGTCAATGTCCTCCAGTGGTATCTCATTCCAGGCAACCACCAACTCCTCTCGAAGTGCTTCTAGAGTCTGAGGAGGACGTTGCAAATTGAGCAATCTCCTACCCATCATATCCCACACGTGTTCAATTGGGGATGAGTCGGGAGATCTTGGTGGCCATGGTAACAATGTGACATCATTATGTTGAAAGAAGTCTATTGTGACTCTTGCAACATGTGGTCGGGCATTATCTTGTTGGAAAGTTGGATCTACCAGGGTGTCAAGATACGGTAAAAGATGGGGTTCTAGAACTTCGTGAATATAACGCTGCGCGTTCATGTTACCTCTGATGAAGATTAAAGGTGACCTGAAACCATAAGCTATAGCACCCCAAGGCATAACTCCAACAGTGTGATGAACATGTCTTTCAACAAAAAACTGTGGATTCCTCCTTTCACCACGTCGCCTTCTAACCCTGGCACGACCATCGTGCATGTCTAAACAAAATCGAGACTCCTCACTAAAGACAATACTGTTCCATTCCTGATCCCAGAGTGACCGTTGTCTGCACCACTCAAGGCGATTACGTCGGTGTTCTCGAGTTAAAGGGAGGACCCAGTGTGGCCGGTATGAAAACAAGCCAAAACTTCTCATTCGTCGGTAAACACTTCGCATGCCAATAGGTCTTCCGTGTTCTGCAAACCATTCATTTGCAATGGACCTGGTAGTGAAGAAACGGTCCCTCAAGGCCAATAATCTTAGGCGGCGATCTTCACGGTCTGTTGTTCTACGGCGGCGTCCAGTGCCCCTTGCTCTTTGCGTACGGCCTTCTCGAAGCCATGCCTGACAACACCTAACCACAGTGTCTACAGTTCTTTGCACTCTAACTGCAATTGCCCGAAAAGAAAGTCCAGCTTCCCGAAGTCCCACTATACGGCCCCTATCAAACTCACTAAGTTGACGAAATCGTACAGGTCTCCGTACTCTAGGCATCGTAACCGATCGTATATTTACTGGCATAATGTTTCTTACAATTTCAAGGGATGAGTGGAAGAGCACTAGATAGTGAACTCCCCATTGTGGTTTTCACACAGTCGACATTTGTTTTATTTATTTTTTTTTAATTTCCTTTTCTTTTTTTGGTTAATACTCATGTTTCTCTATCTGATTTTTTTTGAGAACTGTTTGGAAATAAAGGCATTTATTATTATTAATATTATTATTATTATTATTTAATTCCCTTGTTCTAGATGTTACAAGAGGGACTAACTTGCACCGATTACAATCCATTATAAATTGATGACAGCGTTGCTTAGGAACCGAATAGTCAACCTTCTTGACGCCGTTTTCCGAATTTCCAACGTTTTCGCGTTTACTTTGTTATGCATATAATCTGTATCTTCACGTGCTACCCCTACACCCACCTGTCCTTGACTCCGATACCCCGGACAAGCCCGAAGAGAGTTTATAAAAATATCCGGGATATTTCCCAGTACATCCGATGCGGTTTAGAAATAACGGCGGGGCGGCCGACATCCAGAGACTGAAGTTTATCGGGCCTGTGGGAAATAACAAAGGGCTGTAATGGTGAACTCCTGGATATAGGGATGATGAAGTTCTCAGTTCGACGTACGGGATCTCCGTAATAGCGATGGGCGGTATGCAAATCAGATCGATATTCTGATTGGTATGCGTTTGTGTATAGACTTCCTATGTTAAAGCAATGAGATGACCTATAAATAGTTGTTCTGGTTAATCCTCTGGGTAAATAGAAGGGTCACGTCTCGAAAAAAAAAAAGAATCTTTAGAGGAACATCAGATTAGTGTTTTACAAGCAGTTCGGCTGTCAGATTACAAAACACAGTAATTGCATGCTTAGAAACATCAGTTTTTCTAAAATGTATACGCCGCAAGAAATTATTAAAGAAAATCTGTCAAAAACTTCACGGTGTGTTAGATAACCTCTATCCTCGTTTTTCTTTATACAAGGTGTTTCAGTTTATTGTTGCATAACTTTAAGATTCGGTAGAACTTTTAAAATTAATGCATAAAGTCTATATAAACATGGGTCGAAAAATGCGTGGCTTCCGAAATAAATTTTCTAAAATAGTTTTTTTTTAATATTTCGAACAATATTTGATGTATAACAGTAAAAATTGGTATACAAGAGTTTTTTGGTACGACAAAACGAACCATAGTTTTACTGTAGCCACTAGAGGGCGCTCTCTACTGTACCTGTAGTGTATTAAAATGAGCGAAATTTTTGTCTTAATGCAACTTTTTGCTTTTTGAATAAAAAAACTGATTCTTCGCACTTTTCAACATAAAAAAGCTCTCCTGTGAGTTTTCGTTATAGTTAGCCGTTTTTGAGATATTTCGATTTTTAAGGTTCGATGCATTTTTAATTATTTATGGGAAAATATTATTTTTTTTTACATTTTCGATTTGGGCATTACAAGTAATTAAGATGATCGTTTAGATTGTGTTTTTAAACACAGCAATAATTCCTAACTCCAAATAAACACAAAAAAACAATATTAATTTGTTTAATTTTCCAATATTATTTTTAACAAATTAAATTAATTATTTACAACTAAAATGCTATTGGATAGTTAGGACAAACATACATAATCTGAAGTAGTTGCTCGAAATGTAAACCCAATTGTTCAATACACAATTCACATCTACGAATGATCGAACGTGGTATAGCATTATTTAAACAAGGAGTTACTTCATCACATGCATTCCTGATTCTGTCTATTAGCATATCTCTTGTGGTTACGGAAGTCTGGTACACTTTTTCTTTTAGAAATCCCCACACAAGGAAATCTAATGGATTTAGGTCAGGGGATCGTGGAGGCCAGGCGACTGGTCCTCCACGGCCGATCCATCTTTCTGGATAATTTTCATCCAGCCAGTTTCTAACTATTCTCGAATAATGAGCTGGACAACCATCAAGCTGGAACCAGGCCAGTCTTCTTAAATCTAACATAACATCATCCCACATATTTGCATGTTCAGCCTTTAAAAATTCGAAGAAGGTCGCAGCATTTAACCTTGCAGGCAAAAGGTAGGGTCCAAATAGTCGATTACGGTAGATACCAATCCACACGTTCACATTAAATTCATGCTGAAAATTTCTTTCCCGAACTGCATGCGGATTTTCATGCGACCAAATATGTTGATTATGGGTATATCTGCGCTGACGAACATTTATGTTTTGGTCCCTTTGGAGATTTCCAAAACCATTTTCAATTATTTGACGATGCACTCTTACAAATACTGAGCGAGTTGGATGTCGTCTGTTTGGAGATATTCGTGGGTATTCTCTGGCTGCTTCTGCTGCGTTTCCATTTACAAAGCCATACACAAAATAAATATCCGCTAACTCTTGATTGGAGAATAAAAATGGCATTTTTATAAAACTTACAAAAAAAAAACAGGTAAAAGAAACTAAATTTCGTGCATTCACAATTGCAAAATAACGCTTCAGGTTTCAACAGACAACAAAACTAACTGTCAACTAATTGACGTTTAACCTTATTCTGCTTTCAATTTCAAACATATTTGCAGGCACAGCCTACTTCTAAAAATTATCGAGATACTGACTTTTTAACGTTATTTTATCATGAATAATTAAAAATGCATCGAACCATAAAAATCGAAATATCTCAAAAACGGCTAACTATAACGAAAATTTACAAGAGAGCTTTTTTATGTTGAGAAGTGAGAAGAATCAGTTTTTTTATTCAAAAAGCAAAAAATAGCACTAAGAAAAATGTTTCGGTCATTTTAATACACTACAGGTAAGTAGAGAGCGCCCTCTAGAGGCTACAGTAAAACTATGCCCATGGTTCGTTTTGTCGTACCAAAAAACCCTGGTACACCAATTTTCACTGTTATACATCAAATATTGTTCGAAATATTTAAAAAAAAAACTATTTTAGAAAGTAAATTTAAACACCCTGTATTTCGGAAGCCACGCATTTTTCGACCCATGTTTATATAGACTTTATGCATTAATTTTAAAAGTTCTATCGAATCTTAAAGTTATGCAACAATAAACTGAAACACCCTGTATAATTGAATGGAAAAATCGGCCTTGGAAACAGATCGGCAGCCAAAAAACTAATTTTTCATAGGCTTAAAAAATTAATAAAACAAATTATTCCATTACAAAACACAGTAACTGCCTTTGCTGTGTTTTGTGATGAGTACATACCTAAAAGATACTTCATTATACAGAACAGTATGTGCTGCTTCCGTGTTTTACAAAAAATAAATTTGAAATATACGATATAGACATCTGTAATTTAATAAAATATCAAATGAAAAAGTACCTTCTGCTATACATATAATATGAAACTAACAAAGCAGACAGTATAAATAAATAGGTTCTTTAAACAAAAACGAATAATATTACAAAAATGACGAAAGGAACGATCAACATACATAGGTTTGGTAACACAAGGGAAAACTA